ATGCATGACAAGCAATGCATGACATGCATTGCAGGCAACATTAGAATGGACATCAGGAATCCCGAGACAAAATTTAAACCTGACGTACAATCAAGCGCTTTCCCTCTAAGCCTAACTGAGGCGTTAAGCTACAACTACCGCTATCCGGAAGCTTTTGATAACTCGAGCTTCGTGTTCTTGCCTTCTGAGCTCGGAGAAACTGATCGGGGCGAGGCGGTCATCATGGGGGCTCTCTTGTGCCAGTGAGGCCAAAGTCTCAATGTTGAGAGGATCTTTTGTAGCTGGGAGGAGGCGAAGGAACTGATAGCAACATACGGTGGGAGACTATTTGTGTCGGGGTATGGATGTTAACAATGATGAGGAAATCAGAGCAATATATTTTCACACCATGGCACGATAGGTAAATTTGTATTGCACTTTGAGAATACGTATTAATAAATATTAATATTTATTTAACAATAGTTATGTTGCTTCCACCGCCGTCTTGGGCGCCGGAGCCAGCAGCCTGAGAGAGTAGCCTCAACCAGCGGCTGAAACAGACCTCACGTGAGGAGACCTCAACACCAATTCAGGCGTGCTTTATCCATAGCTAGATGAATTCAACACAAGCAAGAGCAACATCATGATCACCAGCGCGTAGCCGTTTGTGCCTGTGATAATTATCACGCCGATAGAAGCCTTGCGCTTCCAGCAAGATAGAAGATAGAGAATCTGAGCCTTAAGTTTGAGGGGCCAGCCCCCGGTAAAAGCTCACGGCACAACACTGCTCGCGTGGCCGCCATCTCAAATTCAGTCAAAAGTCTATCTGTTTCCTCATTCACGGTCTCTCGCCATACTATTAATATTTCTAAGTTTCGGGTGTCAGACATCATTTAGCCTTCGGCTGACATGACTAGTTATGCTGATTAGAACATGTTCAACACATTCTGCCACACACCGGGGGGTTGCATGTTGGCTAGAGCATCACGCAACATGTGGCTTTGGCCTTATTGTGACTCTATGTAGACACTGCTCTGGAAGTTCTGTAGGAGGTCTCCGAGCTACTTTTAGTGCGTCCTGTCGCCAACATCATCACCCCGTGTTATCACTTCTAGTGCGACGAACCCTGCTGTGCGAGGTCTGGCGATCCGGTGCAGGTGCGGCTACGCATCGTAGTAGTATCGTACGCGTCGCTTGTTACCAAATGCAAGTCCCGTGCGCCCACATCTAGGATTAGCAACGGGTGTCGATTTTCCTACCAAGATATCTAGGTGTCATTATTATTCAACTGGCTGAGCCCGATGGTGGCTCGGTTTGCACTCTCGCCTGCTTGATCTTCTAGCTCCTTCTTCGGCGTTTTCTCCAGGTCCCTTTTTCCTCCTTCACACTAACCGTTTTATCGGTTGCCGTAGCCGAAAATTGGCTGTTGACCATTTTCAATAGCAATCCTGCCGCACCTTGAAAGATGGGTGGCAGCATGGTTGGTAATTCGTCGCCAGAATCCTTCCTGGTTTGGGACCTTGTTGTCCTTTTCGGCCTGTCCTCCTTCTCATCGGTGGCTACAAAGAGACGAAAAATCTTTTCCTGGTTTGCAAGGACGGCAGAGATCTTGTCCTGGGCCGTGTCAAGAGAAGCGTACATCTCGTCCTTGGCGGTCGATTTTTGTAGTTCTTTCAGAATGGCTTCATGCAAGAGCTGCGTTTTTTTCTCATTTTGCTCAACTCTCTCCGCCAACCCGCGCAAAAGGTGTTCTTGGTCTGTTCGCCATTGGCGTACTTCCTCTTTCAAAACTTGCACATTATGCTGTGCCTGCTGCTGCATCTCCGCCGCCTGGCCTTCCTCACGAGTATGCCTTATCTGTGCCGACAAGCCATCCCGGCAGCTCTCCAAACTCCCAGAGATTGACTCGAAGCTCGAAGCAATGACACTCTGAGTGTCCTGGATCCCCTGGCTAAGCAAAGTGTTTTTCGCCTCAATCATATCCGCCAACTGTTTTACCCATTGTACCAAGGCATTACGGACAACATCCTCGAGCTCTGATACCTTTGTCTGTCGCCATTGTTCATACAGTGCGTTTGGATTTGGTTGCACTTGTTGTACATAGTACTGATGGGCAGCATGTGGTGTGGTGTAGAACGGCTGCGGCCCGCCTGGAAGACTGTGCCTATGCTCTGGACGATTCATAGTGTTCGTAAAAAAGAAGTTGGAGTTGTGGGAGTAAGTATTATACCGTGCTCTGACAACAGGTCTCTAGGGCAAGTAGTGTCTGACTTTCTTATACAATTGCACCTCAGCAGGTTTACTTAACTGTACGTAAGCACCACTCCGAATCTGGAGTTCAGTTCTAGGTTGTAAATGTACCTCCAGAAGGCCACACTGACCCGCCCTGGGAACTATGTCGTGGATCCAGCGCACTTGCGCTTTCGCATGGCCGCCACTACATGTCCCCACTCGTTCGGCGTCTTCCCCTTCCAGGCACACAAGTCTGGGCTGAACCCATAGCATCTCCACTTTGGGAAAGATGGCGTTCCACTATACACAAAAATCCATGCCATCTCCACCCCGAGAAAGGTGGCGTTCCATGACTATACACAAAATTCCATGACATCTCCACTTTGGGAAAGATGG